TCCTGAAAGTGATAAGAATGAAGGGAAAACTGTTGCATTCATTTCCCTTTATGACCTCATTTGTTTTAGAGTCACACACTCTCTCATGCACACACACACATTCAGATCGTAAGCTTTAATGCACAACACAAGCTGGCAGCTCCATTATTCCAAACACGGGGCTCCTGTGATATTGCAGGTTGTTGTATCGCTGATGCAGCGTGGCACCAGATGTCCGCGCAGCTCTAACATTGCCATTCGATATTTGTTCATTAGCATGCTGCAAATTTGCCTTCATGGCGTACAAATAAACGCCTTTCTTTCTTTTCCATCATCGCCGCTCCCAAAGGAAGCCGGCGACGCACTCTGTCCCGCCGTGGAAACGCGCTGTGCAGAGGAACATGTGCTTTTCTGCACAAGATCAGAGAGAAACCATTATTTCTCTAACTTTGATGTGGGAAAGAAGGGGGAGAAAAAAACAGCCTCTTTGGCTCAATCGCACTCTTGTTTCTCACCTTTGCTCAAAGTAAATCATTTGTATGCGCTGAAAAGAAAATTAGCGCAGGAAGATAATCAAGAGATTGCGGCGCTCCCAGATGGTGTCTTTTCGTGCTCCCGCCATCCGCTGAAGAGCCACTTTCTCTCTTTCTTTTTCTTCCCCCTACACCCCCCTCCACCCAGCCCCATTTTTATTCATATCCTTTTACACTGATGGCACTATCATTAGAGGCAATCTACCTGAACAATAAAAGTCATTTTGCCTGCCTTTATTAGATAAGACCTTCCCGGCTGCGAGACGCCGGCAGCTGAGGGCTAATTGTCCGTGTCAGAGCAAACAAAGCCGCCATGTGTATTTGTTGTGCGCTGCCGATGTCGTCTTTGTGTCCTGTCGCTTCCCTCCCACTATCGCCCCCAATCCTCCGCTTCACGCAGATTGCAACAGGAAGCCGCTATTGTGGGCCGCTGGCAAGGCCCAAGGATCTTGGATGGCGCTTTGGTGGCGGTGGGGTGCAAGGGTGGGGGTGGGGGGTGAGGGGGTTCGTTCTCTAACCCCTTCCCTCCTCATCCGTTTAACTAATGGAGGAGATTGTGGCGAAGCCTTTTGTAAAGGTCGGCGCTTGTTTGTTATTAAAGATTCTAATTAGAAAGAGGAGAGGAAGCCGGGGAAGCTTGTCTAATTAGCGAGGAGCACGGAACCCACTTTGAAACTCAAGGGCGACGGGCTATTTGCATGCACGTTGAAAGTGGATTAAACAGAAAAAAATCTCTCTCCTTTTTCTTTCTTTTTTAATGTTTGGTCTCAGCGCAATTAAAGCTCAGCTGAAAGGATGGATATTTACCATGAAAGTCGGGACGCTTCCAGAACGGTGGGGCCATAGGCACAGCTAGAAAGGGGGGCAGAAAGGGTACAGGGCATCCAACAAGCTTTATTCCCTGTGGTGTTTCCCACCAGAGTAGCTAAGACACTCCTCGTTCCTCCTGTCCTCCTGCAGGAGATCTCCCTAGCCAATAGCAGGTGGCCCAGCTTGACCCAGCCTGTTGTCTCTTGCTCTCTGCACTGTGATTTCAAACAACAAGGAGCAGATCTTTGAGGATGCTGTTATAAGAATCTGGATGCTGTCTAGATGAAGCCATGAGAAAATACTGAAATGCAATTATTTCCTTTTTTATTGTCTTACACCATATTTTGGTACATCATGAGAAAATTTCATGACGAGTAGACCATTGTCCTGAAAGGTGACCATTTTTGAGATATGAGGTTTCATTTGGCAGTGATGACAGTGTATCAAGTCTTATACAGTGGACACTCATTGAATCGAGAACTTTAAAGTGTGCTGGGGAGCTATTGGGAGCCTTTGCGTCTGTGCATGGAGGAGCAGGCTGTGCCGGAGGGGAGATGGGGCAGTGATGGTGTTTTAAGGACATGCAGCTGTGCAGCACTGAGCAGATGAGTGTGTGTGTGTCTATGTGTGGGCATGCCAGCTGCCTGATGGAGGCACGTGAAAGGGACATAGTGACAGACAATGGGATGAGGCGTGTAGAATTTGTGTGTGTGCAGGTGCGGACGTGGTGAGTCAGCAGCAGGAGCCGCAGTGGGCAGTGCAGTCTCCAAAGCTGCTGCAGTCCTATCAGAGATGAGTCATTAGGAGAGCAGGACAGTCTCCCTGCCCCCTGCCTGCAGAAGGTTTAGGGACAGAGTGTCGCTCAGTGACATAGTAGGAGAACAAGAGGCATTTTTCCACTGTGACGTTGTGCAGTACAGCACGGTAGGGTTACTGAACCAAGATCTATCCATGCCCTGGTCGAGTACCAGTGTCCTTTCCCATCGAATAAGAGTCCACTGCCCTGGAAATATGAAGTGAATCACACGGACAAGTGAACTGCATCAGAAAAAGGCACTGCAATATAGTTAATTCCTAGAGACTTCTTGGTAAACTGCCAGCACTTTGCATTTCTGTGTCCAATATTCAGTCACATACAAAGTTTGGATGCCCCTGGTCAAATAACATTTTGTTGATTTTGTAAGTGAAAATGAGTACACATCCTCTACAGAGAACAAACATTGGTACATTTTAATATACAATTACTGTTTATTTGCTGAATTTAAAATACTGGGAAAAAAATTCTAGCATGTAAAAATCAGCAAATAATTAGAAAGTGTTTATTAAATTCTACCAAAAAAAACAATATTTAAGCTTGTTGTAACTTTTCACTTAGAAAATCAACAAAATATTTAATTTGACCAGCGGCACCTAAACTTTTTCATATGACTACATATAGAAAAATATGGAAAAAAAAAATAAATATATATATATATATATATATATATATATATATATATATATATATATGTAACATTTTGTTCAAAGTTTTTTTTTTTTACCATGTCTGCCTGTCCATTCATCATGAAATGTACATACATTGTAAAGAGCATCTGGTATGAGAAAAGTTATGAGATTTTGAAGACAGACGTGTGTGTATATATACAGATAACTTGAAGCTGCTTGAGAGAACACTAAGAAAGCAAAGCTGCCATCAAAGCAAAGAAGGGTTACTCTGAAGAATCTAAAATGTTTTGATTTATATATTGTGTGTTGTTTCTTAGTGTTTTGAACGAAATCCCTTCTAAGAGTAGGTGTTTCCAAACTTGTGACTGTTGCTGTGTATGTATGAAGACAACTCAGGATAATCAAACATAGTCAAACATAAGCAGAAAAAGTGAAGGAACATTTAAGATGTGTGTAATCTTTACACGCTTCTCTTCATTTGTCTTTTATATTCATGACATCCAGCCTGCATTCTTCTGCGGCCTTAAACCGATGTAAATAAAGCCTTCTTGCGTGCAGCTTTGTCCGATTTGTCGAGCTATACATTCCAGTAAGTAGGCAGCACTGGCACAGTGCCATTCTACCAGCCGCTTACCGTAATTTGAAGCGGGCATGCTGCCCGCAAGCCGCTGAGGATGGAGGGGGAAGTTGCGATGGCGCTGGCGGAGGACCTGTTCTGCCCGCTAGATTGCACTTGGCAGTTGCTGACAGTATAATCAGTGCTGGCTAGGTGAGCCGAGGCTGCGGGCCTTCTCTTTTTGCTTATGGACCCAAATGAAAAACAAATACGCCCTGGGGGGCCCCCAGGATGAAAGGCCTGTGCTGCCAATCCTGCTCCTGCCTTGAGTGGATTAACTCCTGCACTGGAAAGAGGTGCAAGAGGCACCAATAGCTTTTAATAGGCCTCTTTTATACAAGCACCGTGCCTCAGATTATGGGGACGAGCTATAAATGTCAATGCAGCTCGCGCTAGTCAATGACACTTTCTGAAGCGTTGCTAATCTACCATCTGGGTGAAAGAGAGGTGTTTTTGTGAGTCCGGGCCAGGACGCAAAGAGGCCCGGCGCTTTGTGCTGTGGATCCTCCCTAATGTTTATGCCCAGTAAACATGAATGTGGCCTTCTCAGACTGTGCACAGAAGCAAACACAAAGGCTGTGGGTGCTAAGCTGCATCTCTGAAAACAGAGAGGATTGAAATCAATTATTGATGTTTTGTGTGAAGTCTAGTTTCATTCTCTTGAGAAAGAAAAAAAACTGACTCCTTAAAAGGACTATTAAAGAACGTTATTGTGTGAACGAGACCAATTGTGCACAAAGATGTCCTGTTTCTCACCGATCCCCTAAGTTAACGTGAGGTCCATTCACTCAGTTTTACTTAATCTCAGCAAGGTTCCTCCTAGGATGGCCGTAGCTGTTTCTTTAATCTGCAGTGGCAGGTAGCCCATGGGCTCTTCTCTCACACCTACTACAGGACCAGTCAAAAGTTTAAACTTGTTGCAAGAAGAGTTTACAGTATATGCATCAAAACTATGAAACAGAACCTATGGAATTAGACAGTGACCAAAAATGGGTTTAAACCAAATAATTATTGTATTTTAGATTCTTTAAAGTAGACCCCCCTTTGATGGCAGCTTTACACACTTTTGGCATTCTCTCACACAGCTTCATGAGGAGCCACCTGGGATGCTTGAAGTATATCCTGAGCACTTGTTGGCTGATGCATTTAAAAATGTCTACATTTAACCTCTTTTTGTAAATGAATTTATACATAAGCTATTAACTTCACTGTTTGTCTTGGGAACAAATTTCAAGCATTTTAGTTTAAGTATTTAAACATATGTCTTTAAGATGATGAAAAAAATATATTCTATAAGGTCCAAACTTTTGACTGGTACTGTATTTTACCCCCTTTTAGATCCGCTACCGCAGTCAATTTCTGAAACCAAAACGGGCAGCTGGGCTTGGGTTTAGATAACACAAAGGTCGTCAGCTGCTGGCTACAATACGGGTAGCATTGAGCGCCATGTAGCCTACTTCAGCCACTCTCACCAGCACCACGTACCAACACATGGCTTGCCTACATAATTATGTACCATGCAAGAGTTTTTCCCCTAAATGATGGCGTCCCACTCCCCCTCCCCCCCCCTTAACCCCCCACCCCCTTCTCCTCCACCCCTGTACTGTATCTCCCAGGCTTCCCCGATTATGGGTTTTATTCCGCGCCCAGTGACCAGCGGGGGGCACCCTGCTCCTTTGCGGACTATGGCTCCCTGGGGCCCCAGGCGGCTCAGATGCTGCAAAGCGAGCACGCCACATCCGCCTGCAACTCGCCCCTGCAGCACCTGCACAGCCCGGATCAGTTTAAAAGCCCAGGTTTGTATGGCGCGTTTTCATGTCCTAGACCTTTTGCTGCCTTCACGTTTGGTCTCTACTTTTTTTTCTTTGCTTTTGTTTGTTTTTTGTCTTTCTTCGATCACACACCGATGCATTAGCCGAGAGACACAACTCGTTTGTTCTTTTGTATGAATAGAGGCATCAGCGAAGGAGAGAAGTTCTACCAGACGTGATAAACAAACACCTGCCTGAGATGCACTGCATGTGGGATTTTATTTATTAATTTATTTCTTTTCATTTCTCTCTTTAAGAAGACAGAGACCTTTCTTTTGTGTGTGTAGATCCATTAGATATTTTGGCACGAAGGCACATCAGTGCCCTCTGGATGCATGTACTACGCACAAGCATGAAGAGAACGCGGCAAAGGGATGACGCAGTGCCGGCTAATGCTCGCTCTGTTCATTCAGTCACATTCTCCACCCCCGTACCATTATCATAAACTCATACTTATACATACTTATGCATCTGAGATCTGCTGAAGGAGCATGGTACTTTCAAAAACTTTCCTTTTTGAGAACATATTCGAGTCCATACTCAGCTACATACATGTTTTCTGCCTTCTAACAAGGATAATGTATTCAGTGTCAGTATAATAATGGTTCCATACTTATACAGCAGTTTCTAGTTTACAAAGTCTGTTTCCATACAGGTTTTATCTTAAAGACTGTTTTATATGGAGCACTAAATCACAGCAGGAAAACAAGCTAATTCCCTTCCTGTCACCTTGTATTGCACGTTAAGTCAACTCTTGTCACCTCCACGCGACACTTCTGTGATATAAACACACCCTCTCTTGGAACACCCTCACAGTATTATGTCTAGCTGTGTTTGGTGTGAACTGAGGTTGAAGATGGGAGACATGCTGCATTCAGGTTGTTTTGCGTCAGTGCATTAAAGAAATGCTAAACACTTCACCCCAAAAATGCCAGCGTGGTTCATAATAAATGAAAGGTAACAGGGACCATTTGGCGTTATCCAAAAAAGACGTCCTCTTTCTTAGTCTTTGAGCTGTGTTCCTTTAAACCTTATTTTAACCCCTTAAACCAGTAGTACCAACCCTGGTCATGGGGATCTACCATCCTGAAGATCTACCTTCCTACATTCTCTTTCCTCCTTCCATCTGCCACACCTGCTTCAGCTAATTCATTCTACAAAAGTCATTGATTTGCTGGATAAGATGCAGGTATGGGTGGATATCATGTTAGATGCAGGTTGGAACGAAACTCAAAGCTGGAAAGTAGATCTCAAGGAAGGGGGTTGGTGACCACTGCCAAACCCTAAGTATGTGGGCTTACATTTTAGTTCCTGAGTATTATCACACAACTTACTTAAGATTAATAACTAAATAATAAGGGTAGCATGTTAAGCCATTAATATCACCCAAGTTATCTATTTTTTATGCAACTACAGCTGTGAAATCTTCCTGGATGCATATATTAGTCTCTTCTAGGCAGCATCAGTGAAATTCTAGTTGAAATGTCATTAAAAGTGAATATGACCCCTCTGTCTCTCTCTGAACTCCCCAGCACAGTTATGGCTAGTCAAGCCTCATTGGCTAGCCATTTTCAGCGGCGCCCTCCGTGGGCCTTCTTCAGTGCTGCGTTGTCCCGGGTGTTGCAAGCTCTAAAGCGTGATGATGCATCGTTGAAGTCTTGCATGGTGTCGCCCGTCTGTGGAGGGGTCCTAATGGCCGCGGCCGAGGCGGCTCCAGCCAGGTGTTGTGAGGCCTGCCAGGCGCTCTGCCTCGCCTCACCTCACCTCACCCGTCCCGCCTCATTTGCTTTGGCAGGCGACAAGGAAAGACATCTTAGCACCCGTGCTTTACACTGCAGATTACACAGATCTTTCGGTTTGGACCTGGGCCCAGCCTGTGCAGATTTCGGCTCGAATGGCTCCCCGCAGAGCAAAGCCGGGCTTGCTAAGCTACGGGCTCCGAGCTGCACAAGTGCTGTACAGTATGACCACTGATATGGCTGTGGTCCTCAATTACTGTAGTCAGATTTTACCAACTCACAACACAGGACAGCTTGACTGGAGCAGTTTCTAATGTATGGCTACACTGCCTCAGAGAACGTTTGGGAGTTCTGCCCAGTTTTTCTTTTTATTTTTTTTTGCAGTGTATCACTGGTAACTGTCCTGTGCTGCTGGCAGAGGTCGCCTTATTCTTTTTGCTCTCTTCTGTAAAAACTGCTGCCTTTTCTCACCGTGCTGTGCTTTATCAGACAGACATAAATAATACTTCACCCTACCACCCAGCCCCCCCCCCACCCCCCAGCAGAAGCTTCCGAGGTAGAAATGCGCATTTCAGTCTTAGTCTTTGCAATATATGACAGTAATACTGCTTTCAATATAGGTTGAGAACACTGAGAGATAAAGTTCTATTGGATTAAGGTGATACTTGATATGAGGTCCTGTCAAATTGTCTCCTGTATCTCGGTTGCTGGGGCAACACAGACATAATCGATGCATTGTGGGTCTTTTAGGGGTCATATCAAAGCACTTTACCGCATGACAGCAGAGATTCTTTGTTTGTGTGCCTGTGTCTGTGTGTATTGGTGTGAGAATTACATTATAACCCCCACCCCAGAAATAAGTATGTAAATAAATAAATAAACACATAAAATAAATAAATAACAGGTGAGGACAGTACCTTGCTGAAACTAGGAGAAAAGAACAGCATTGTGCCCTCTTCCCCCTGCGGGGCACTTCCACTTTGTCATCCTGTGGAAAGAGACAAAAGGGTCTCGTAAATTAAAGCTCAAGTGCTGAGCGCCAGTACAGGACACATGAGTCACCTGCGCCTTAAAAACCTGCTGTGTAATCCATTGGCCCACTAGTTTAATTAGCATGGGTGCCGCTAAGCTACCAGTCAAAGCCAATAAGTGTAACTCATGTTTGCCTATTAAAGTTAATAGCAGGAGCAGTCTAGCCCCAGGGTTTAAGTTGAAACATAAATCCTTTTGCTCACAGAGAGAAGGAAAGGCAGAGGGAGAGCCCTGTGCTTTGCCTCAACAGAATCCACCAATTATAGGAAATGAGGATTACTGTTGAAACTGAAAATGGCTGTAATTGCTTAATAAGCAGGCCTATTAGGAAATGTGCTCTTCAGATAAGGCCAGTAAGGCTGCTCCTGAGAAAGGCCTGGAGTTAAGCATGGCAGTCTCTCTCTCTGCCGCTCTACTTTTCTCTCATTAAACAGCACAGAGTAGGCCAGGTACAGAAGCTTGAATTGAAGGAGCATCTCAAGAGGAATCCATCCTCCGCCCACAAATGTGTTCTTTTGTATGTAGCTACTGCTGAGAGTTTGGAGAAGCTTTACAGAACATTGGCAAAAATCCCATTAAATCCAAAAACAAATTGTACACCACAACTCAGTTTTTGTCAAAATACTTAAATTTAGAGTGTTCCTTTCAAATGATATGTTATTTAAGCGTGAAAGTTTACACTGTTAGGACAGATGAGGTACAGTTTTTTAGGTCATGTAACAGAGCTAACATTAACAAGTTGGCACATTAGTCATTTAGCATGTCAATAACAATAAAATCAAATACTAATTTGTATGTCATTATTAAAAAATATTTGAATAACAATACTGAAAGTTTTATTTAATTTTATTCATACAAGTACAATAAAAAAAACTGCTTCTTGTTCATCAACGCATTTCTGTAATGCTTCCTATGTGCTCTGGCTACACTTCTTACTATCTGTGTCTTTGTGCGATGTGTGGTTGCCTTTAACTGCCTGGTGTAGTCTTTTTATGATTTATGAAGCTTTTTTCTTTGGACTAACAGATAAAAAGCTCTGACAAAAATGTTAGATGCAGGCTCTACACTGCCCTTTGGTGGAGTATAGAGCTCTGACATCACATGGTTCTTTAATCAGAACAAATAAAATTAGACAGAAACTAATTCTTATATCAAAAATCCTATTTTGCTATTCAGGTTTTTAAAACTTTCATGACTATTGAAATCTTCGAAGGGTCTGACTTCCTACTGTGTAGTTTCGACACATCATTTTAAGCCTGGACCTGTTATGTGACAACTTTAAACAAAGATTGGTACAAGATTGGTACTCTCATAAGGGTGATTAAATTTTTTGCTAAAGTTCTGTCCACAACAGGTCCTGGAATAAATAAATAAAATAAATATATAAAAACAAAAACAAAAAAACACATTTGTGGGTAAAGCATTGATAGGTCGAGTGAAAGGCAGGTTTATGTGTTTGCAGAAAGACAGGAATATATGTGTGTATGAAAGTATGTATGTTTGTATGTCTGTATATATGTCATTCAAGTAAAAAAAAAAAAAAACTTATGTTATCCATGCACACATTGTCTCTTTGACATACTGAAGTGACAAATTGGCCCTGTATTTGGCCCGACAGGACAGAATTGTCCACTCTCTCTAAAGTAGTCCATGACTCACAATTGAGAAAGTTGCATATTAGTCATAGCATTTATGTCTCATACTGAGGCTTCCAGGCTCCTGTTGTGACGGTGGAAATGGAGGCTTATTACAGAGAGCACTGTGATGAATGAATAGCTACAGCGTGCATGATGTAACCAGAACGCTTTGTCCAGCCAGTTTTATACATGACAGCGTTGGTTGTACTGACTGGTCATGTGGCTTTAAGAAGCAGGCTAAAACTACTGGCATTTGTGGAATTTCTTTAATATCCTAGATTGTTTCATAAACTTTGCTTTTTTGTTCTGTCTGCCTTTACGATGGCAAGTCAAATAAGATGCTGTGAAAAGAAGCAGAGGAGGAACCTACAGTATCTTCACTTGCTTTTTCCAAATTTACACCATTAGTTGGTTTAACTGTAGAACAGGCAGAAAAAAAATCAGTGCCACCAAAAGACCCGTTCCTATGCCACGCTTCATGAAAGTCCACAAAACAGGCTCTAAGCAGTGGGCAGTTCATATGTTTGTGACTAACCGCATGTTGGTTCCACCGTTTGCCTGCATGCTGATCGCGCTTGTGCATGAATTCGCAGTGAGTTCTGAGATTTTTCCAAATACACCAAGTACTACGCACAGCACACACGAGAATATGATGTTGGCTAATCGCCTTTGGTGTCCCTCGCTACTACTAAGAAATAAAGATAATACAGATATTGTTCTAATGCAAGTTTAATGATGCTCCTCTTACAATCCACAATGTAATCGTGAAAGCTTTAGCTATTAGCAATTAGAGTGCATGAATGGAATAGCGTTTCAAGTAATTAGTCAGCATTTCAGTGCCACTCTCTTTGCTGGTATCGCCTTTATTATTTTGCTCTACAGTTCCCAGTGCTTCAATATTCTGAAAATTAATATAGACTTACACGTCCAATATCATATTCTCTCCCATATATTGTGTTAATGTCAATCTCCAGGCAATCTAAATTTGTTTTGCGATCATTGCGCATTGTGCTTGACATGACCCTGAGGATTTCCAGCTCCACCACATCTTCCTATGTGTGTTTGTGTGTGTGTGTGTTCTTTAGGCGCTAACCCCCCTCGGCCTGGAGGCTTCCCTGGTGCCAACAGTCCTGGGCCTGTAGCTGATTTGTATGGCCCGACCAGTCAGGACTCAGCTGTGGGGAACTACATCAGTGCTGCTAGCCCCCAGCCTGGCTCCGGCTTCAGCCACAGCATTGCTGTGAGTATGGCAACAACTTCACCAACTCCAAATTTCACATCCCTTGTCATACATGCCAGTTACCTGTCCCTGAGTCACTCAACAGAGTTAACTTAAAGGAATAGTTTGGCATTTTTAAACTTAACCACTATCTGCCACATCTGTATCCTACTCTCAGTAATAACAGACAATAATTTTGACATATTTCCCTGTTTCCCAACCCTGTGACTCACTTATGGGTTTACACAATGAAACTTAGAAGCAACTTTAGTTGCTTTAAACTTACACGAGCTGCATATTATAAAGTATCCTGCAACTCACTTGAAACTCAGCCGCAACAGTTACCACTTTACAAGTTACATGGTTAAATATGAGATCTTTCTGATTAACCTAATGCAAGGTTGGTAGTTTTTCCATTCTGTCAATTACCTGTGCCATGACAACAAAAAATGCAAGCTAACATTTCTGTAACCAGGTGGTTTAACTAGACAGCTAACAGCAACAACTGTTTAAACAACTTCTTTAGAGGGTTTTTCTCAAGCTCTACATTATTTATTTTCTTCTCTCTTGATGCCCCCTAATTTTACACAGAGCAGAGATCCCTTTAGGAATCAAAGGATCAGGCAAGTCCTGTGAAAACTCCATCCACACCTTTATGCTGTTAACGAATTAGCACAAATCTGACAAAGATATTAATAAATACCTTAATGAAGTGTTTGACAAAAGTGTTTCAAATGAATGTTACTGACAGCATTCAGCATCTGCATTTATCTTCTAAGTGTGTTTTGAGCCACACTTTTTGTATTTTAGTACAGGGAAACACATCACAATTATTGTCTGTAATCAACCATATGCTACAGATTTAACAGGTAGAGATTTGGTTGAAAATGGAGTATTCCTTTAATGATTAATGAGACTCATACAGTGTACAGGATCTAGAGAAAATTTTCTCTGTCTCTTTTTTTTGTCTGTTTCTCTGTCCCTGTTCCATTCTATCTTCTTATTCCCCTCACATTTTAATCCCAGCTAGATTTGATTACTTTTGCCTTGCAGCTGAGGAGTCAGAGTTTGATTGTGTGTCACTTCTGTATGACTCACTTAAAGGCAGGCACTTTATTGTCAATGCGGCAATTTAGAAAAGAGGGTCTCAATCGGACTACAAGCAGAATTAGTGCCGCTGTACGCGTGTGGGAAAAAAAGCTCTTGTGCTGATGAATCAAGAGCCTCTGAAATCCTGAAATCCATCGGAACCGCGGCTGAAGTTTGAGGAGGAGGGGAAAACAGAGCATCACAAACAACTTGGCAGAAGAAAAAAAACAGACTGGTATGATTGGAAATGAGCAAATTGTCAAATTCAAATGTCCCTGTAACAAGCAGATGCTTTTGACACCATATCCAAACAAAAGCACGGCGCGGCACAAAAGTTGCTTTAATTGGCTTTTTGCTGGCAGAGCGCAGATTCCGTCTCTGAATGTCACAGATGTCAGGTCGCATTTCTGAATTGCTGCGGCTCTCAATTTGGAAAAAGAAAGGATGCATTTGTAATGAAGTGCCAAATTGAAATTCAATTATTCACACACTCATTCTCGCACAAATACATCTCTTAACCAGCTCTACGGCAGAGATGTGCTTTATGACAAGGTGTGCCGGGCTACAGTGAGCCTGGGCCTCCTCTCCTCCCCACCCTCACAGCCTTTGTGAACCGAACAGGCTCTTTGTCAACTGCTTTTGTATTTGCAGAACAATGTGACTTATAATACAGTTATCAAGTAATTATCCCTGTTCCGTGGATCATTTTGCGTCTAGGCTAGAAACACTGCGCCTGTTTTTCGCTCATGTTTTGCACACTTTATTCGTGTTGAGAATGTTAGCCGATGGTTAAAAACTCAAGAGAGCAGACGACTCGGGCTTATACTTTGTTAAACAGCCACAGCACTTTAAAATGGAAATGCTGGCCACACGTCCATAGCTTTATTTATGGGCATTAGCGTTAACGGGGACGCATCTGGACGCAAATTTGCTCGGCGATGAGAGATTAATGTGGAGTGGTGCGGTTTCAGGTTGAGTTAGTTCCTCTCAGGGTGATGTGAGTAACTAAGGCTGGGCCGAGAGCCTGGATGCTTCGGAGTCCGGCGCTCCGGCAGATAATGTCTCCGAGCAGCACATTAACACAGGAAATGACGCGGAACGCAAAATGCTCCTCTCCGTTTATTTCTGCGACACGTGTCAACAATTAGCCACACCGCGGAACTGTAGGCGCCGCAACCCGGCGGATGACTCCACAGTTGCTGTTTTATTACTCTTTATTAGTGTTACTCATATCTGGCCCTGGAGGGCCACAGCACTGCAGAGTTTAGTGTTTTCCCTGCTCCAGCGCACCTAATTCAGCCTGTGAAGGGCTTTATAATTAGCCGATGAGATGAATCAGCTGTGTTAGACGGGGAAAACGGCACTGCGGCACCCTGGCCTTCCAGGCCCACATCTGAGTAACACAGTTGTGAACATGCAACCAGAATGAAGTTAAATGATGAAGGCTCTTGTACTCCACCGAGACAAATGTTAGTGGGAGTACGAAGCGAAAATCTTTCCTCCAAGTCTGCTTGATTAGAGAGCCTAAAGCGCCCTGCCGTAGCAGACTTTGATTTATTCATATGGATTAAACTTGGGATGTCTTTCTGAAGCGCGTCGCTCACGAGCACAATGGGCTGATGACAGGCCCGATAAGAGGCAGTGTTTTTAAGAAAGACGTGTTGACAGTTTGCCGTTTTGCCCCCTAAATCTGCCGTGTGGGCGGTTCGCCTCACAAACGCAATCAGAAAATCAGACAGTGTCGAGGATTTGCATATGGAGGAGGGAGATTGATCAGCTCAAGAGAGCGAGAAGACGAGGGTGGACGTTTCCTCGTTTTTCTTACTTTTTTGGAGGGGTTGAAGTGGCACAGGCACATGTTTGGAATTTTTTAATAGTGCCCCTGTCAGCCTGATTGAGAGCCAGTTCATACCCAACCCGCTGGACAAAAACCATGAGGGTACCTCAAGCACAAGTCAGTGTCAGAACCACTGAAATTCAGCAGTTACTGATGGAGTGGCTAGTCTACCAAACCGTGTAAATGATATCTATGATGATCATATGCAACCTCACTTGAAGAAATTCTTTACCTAAAAATGCTGACCTAGCAAACTGTGTATAAAACTAAAAAGTTTTAGCAGCATGGCTAACAGTGGATGCAAGTCAGCGGTGATCAGTTAGCATGGCTAAAAATGTATGCAAACCAAGGAGTCAGTTAGCACTGGTTGAACTGCATAATGCTGATTAGTCCTAGCTTTAAATGGTATTAGCAGTGTTTTTGGGTGATGTATTATTTATTTATTTAAGGTCGCACACACCTGCCTTTAACTTCCTCCTGTGTCATCCTTTATGTTGGCTGTCATATTAAGTGACCTTTCAGCCCTCTGTAGTATCCTCTTAACCCAACACCACCTCAGCTTTGTCTACCATATTATTTATATATGTATATCATAATTTTATTTATGTGTGTGTATATATATATATATATATATATATACACACACACACAAATTTTAGGTGTGGTCACTGTCACAGGTTAATACTAATTGTCAATTTGCTATTAGAAAGGCACAAATGAAGTTCCTTTGTTCATTTGCACATTGTCTTTATTTCCTTGAAGAAATAAAAGTATTTTCTGTTCAATTACACATTAAACACCAGATCAGTGTTTGTGATATATTGTTCATGACTTGAAACTCATTCATGCTGACAGACCAATTCTGTGGATCAAAATGTACTCACTTTTCTCTTCTCCTGCAGATGCCTACTAACAGACACACTAACTCTATACTTTTAGGGCCCCTTGATTGCGACAGCTTTTACAAATGGATACCATTGAAACCTAACAGGTGGTCGGTTGCCATCTCAGTGGAGGTATTATGTTTCCTTTATATTGCTCAATGGTCCTTTCTATCCATCTCTATGTCTGTCTTTATGGACTTATTTCATCCTTAATCTCTCCTCCACCTGTTCTCGCTTTTATGGAACTACTGCCCCATATCTTTCAGCACGAATGCTAGACTGACAGTGAAAAGCATGAAACGGCAAAATGCAGTCATTCTCTTCAACCTGCAAATCTTTCTCCCCGCGCCTTTGTTCGTTACCCATATACGGCAAACCTTTCATTTGCAATATCATGCACTTCATTTGTTCGTAGCGAGTAGAGAGTTTATTCCACTCCATCGGCTTACACAAGACAACACTGTTGCTCTCTCCTAAAGGTTCCCTATTAGGGGTCATTTCTCCATGTTTTCATGTCTGCTGGCTGGTCCACATAAGTAATCAATCTGCCAGGGGATCCATGTGTTTGTCTTCTATAATTTATAATTATCCTGTTATTTTATTAATTTTACTTTGTAATTTACACTGTAACGTAACTAGACATGTGCCAGTTATTAATAATAAGGGATACCAATGATATTCATCACACTTGGTATCAGGGTTCCAGATGCCAACCTTTTTTCAGAACCATCCAGAAAAATTCTGTCAGCCATCCTAAAGTAAAAACTGACCGGACAAAATATTAAACTGCTTTGTTTACTTAACATTTCTCTTGAGTTTTTGTACTACCAGATTTTCAAAACTGACAAATGTCAGATAGCAATACACAGAATGCATATATGCATACGCACATGTATACACTCAGGCACACAAGGCATACAAACACTGTGGTCCATAAATACATTTATGTCCATATGTATGAGAGTATCTGCATAAAAAGCTCTGTAACTAAATATTTAATGTTTTATTGCATCACTTTCTTCCTTGTAATGAACTGCATTCAATGCAGAACAATCAATGTAAATCGCCATAACCACCCTGTTCATATATTAATAATGGAATGCACTTCAGAACTTCAGAATCAGAAATAGCTAGTTAACAGTAAATAAAACTACTTCGAATAAAAATACAGCAAGACCAAATGTGTTTAGAATAAAAGTACAGTAAGATTATATTTTGTGCCCTGGAGTTTTAAATGTTTAGGTGTTATGTGACCTTGTTGGCTAATCACTGTACACATCAAACACTTAATAGTCTGATACCATATTTGATCAGATTACAGAGAGACTGTAAAAATCTAACAAAGTAAAAAAGGTTTTTTACAAGTTTTAACTGCCCATGCTAAAAAAACATGAATAGGCACATTGACTGGCTAATAGCATTTAGCATTATGCTAGTGGTAGAACTTTAATAAAAAATGCTATTTTACTTACAAAGAAAAGTAAAAACTATTTCTGGCTATATCTTTGCTACATTTAGGGTGTGGATAGTGGCACATTCTAGATTTTTATGACTACATTTTACAGACATCGAGTGTTAACATGCAAGTTAATCATCCCTGAGGTGGGACGGCGTAGTCTTAAGCCTTTAACATTATTTGCTATTATTATTGCTATTAAAATTGACATTCAGAACACTGCATATATGTATATGTTTGTTTTTTGTAATATCGTATTAAAATCGTAACCATGATAAAAGTTTAGGTAATTATAGTGATGTAACACTTTTACACTGGTATATGTCTAAATATAACTTCAGCCTTCTAGTGCCTATTTAAGGGAATAAGCATCAGCAATGAAAACTGCTAAATAAATAAAGTCAGATTATTATTATCATCATGTATATGCACCTGAACTTACATGCTCTTGTTCTTGAGAGTGGGAGAGGAATCCTGTTAATCCTGTCTCCTTGCCTCAGCGGTGTGTATGGCCTATGTCCGTCTCCTCAAGCTCCCCCAGTACCATGCTACTTCACTCTCATATGGCACTGAAACTTTCAAATCTGTGGAGTGTCAAGTCAGATCCCAGTCTCAGCTCCCAGTACTCTGCCCACCCGTCTGCTTGGATTACTTCTGCCTCAGTGTGCTCCACTTTTCTGTTGTCTGTAAGGACACCAGTTAGAGTGAGGAGAGAGGCTGGGTAGTCCACCACGTTGTGCCTTACAAGAAATAGGAGAAAAGAAGTCCAACAAAAAACTGGACAAAGATTTAAGCTGTCAGTTTTGCCAAATAATGTCACAAGACAACATGAACTGGGTTGTCTATTGTACACAAAAGACTGTTTAATTTTGGAGAAAGCAACAGTGTTTCAGGAATGATGTGGTCATTCAGAACCATTGCTTGTGAATGTCGTGTCCTTACATTTACCCCTACATCAGACAGCCTGAGCTACAGAATCCTCTCTTCTGTCAATGGAGTTGTCAAAAAGGACGGTTATGAAACATAGCTACACCTTAAAGGTGCAGTGTAAAGGCTACCATGTTCAAATTAAAATTTCTAAGCATGCGTTTGTGCAGGTTGTTTTGATTGTCACAACCTTTTTTGCCCAGCCAAGAAAGACGAGGATCAAGGTGGCTTAAAATTTTAGTCTGCACTGCATTCGCTCTAGAAGCTAAAGTTGTTCAATTATTCTTATGAGTTGTTGGTTTATTAGTAACACCAACTTTAACTCATTAAAGTTTAAAGCTAAACTCATTGGACATTTTATCAGGAACACCTACAGTATACCACCCTTCATTTTATTGTCAAGAAAAAAGCAGAAAATATGTATTTGGCAGTCCAATAACAAAACACAATATACATTTTTCAGCATTTAGAATGTGTTTGCCTTTGTTTAGTATGTTTTTGCCTTCATTACAGTTACCTTTTTTTGTTTTCATTTTTTTTAAAAGAAATCTACAGGCATATTTTTCCACACCTCCAAAGCTGATTCTTACAAGTTGGTTGCATTATTTTCTCTATATCTAATAAGTGGAAATGTTTTTTTACTAATTTTCCTTTGATTTTTCCCTTATGCTTTAGATTATATAGAATCTAAAATGAGTAACTTACACCTACTGGCCGTTTTGACTGGAAATCAAACAAATGAAGGGTGGTTTCTGACTTTTGCACAGTAATCTACCATATAGGTGCACTTTGGTATGCCTTGCTCATGTACAGTAAAACACATATAGCCCATCTGTTTGGTTCTAACCTCAGAGCTGCACTTGGCTGGATATTTTTGGGTGGTGGACCACGCTCAACCTCAGCAACACTGCTTTGCTACTACAGTCATACCAGCGCCACTCACACTACCACGTCAGTGTCACGGCTGACACTGACCCACCACCCTATTAATATCTGGTCCGGTCTCTTTCCGTTGATGGGCAGGCTAGAGGGGAGCTAATAAATTGTGCAGCAACAGATTAGCTACAATCAATAATTGTGAACCTACACTGTGCACCTATGTGGTAGCTGCACCTAGTAAACTGACAACTCAGGGTAAGGCACCTTTAAGGTAAAGAAAAACTTCAGAAATGCATCTGCAGAATTTTGGATCTGATGTTAGATGTATGGAAAGCTTAGAGCACTGGGTTAGTCATGTTTATGTCAAGCATTGTGTCCACGACAAAGGAGAACAGCAGTAGCTCAGGCTATGATGTTTAGCTTACTATCTAAAAGAACCTGATGATGTAACTTGACCTTTACCTGTTTTCAATCACTAGAGTATATCTGGAGGTCCTGGGAAGATGGGCCGAAGTTTCTAACTGGTCGTGTACAGGTGATGTCATGAGACTTCAAGCACTGCAGCATCCCATTGGTGAAAGGGACAGGGGGGTGGCACCATGAAGAAGAAAAGAACAAAAGAAATGTCAAGATCATCTCAGAAAACAGTACTGCTGTACCATAACCCCAACCCTTATTGTAATCATATAACATTTTTTCTTCCTCTATATGGCATTTTATTTCTCTCATTAATTTTAATTTCTTCTCCTTTTAGTTGGTTAATTTGCATAGTTAAGGAAAAGTTTTTGTTGTGATCATTTGTGCATTTTGATTTTTTCACATTTCTCTTCGTGTTTTCTTGTTTGTTTTTTTTCTTTTATTGGCATTTTGATGAGTGTAGTTTAAAAGTGTTTGCTGGTCATGTCTGAATTACCTTTGGTACCAATTGTAAAGATCCGATTTTATGGTGTCATATTTGCACAAAAAAAGGATAAAGCTACTCACTGACTGATAAGGATTTGAAAGAACATTCAGTACATTTCATTTCAGCGAAAAACGAGAGGGTAACTGAACTAAATCGATCTTAGTAGCTGTTTTTAATTCTTGTGATGTCTCATTGTTGATCATAATTACCTATTTTTGGGCAATACAAAGAGGACTCCAATATTTTTATGGTCCTTTTTTTATAAGTGTTGTTTTTTGTTGTTTAGAAAAAAAAAAGAAATGTATACTATGACATTTTTTCAAATGAATACATTGTGAATTCAGATTTAAGAAAAAAAAGAAATGTAACTGTAAATATTATTCCAGTCATTGCATATAACCAATTCAGAATGAAAAAAAAAACAACATATTTTTCTGACGGTGTGTCAAAGAAATTGTTCCAGGGTGTGTATACACGAAAAAAGAAAATATAGGTCTTAACAGATTATTATATAGGTGTCACTCAAATACATTAAGTACCCCAGTGACAACTGCGATCTATTGGATAGTTGTTTGGCTCGCTCTGTAAATACTCAAGCTGAATAATTTTACAAGTGTCATACCAGCATATTTACAAACCGGTGACTACAGGGCACTGCTCAGAGTCGGGTATAGAGTCTTTTCTCTCAGCCGTGGACATAATTTTCAACAGAAAGACGATTCAATCCAAAGCACACTGTAGGTAGTGTTAAAGAAATGGACTCTGAATTCAGTCCAGAGATTTTAGAAATACTCTGTGCGTCCTGACACTTTTATACTCCTGACCAGAAAAAAAAAGGTTAAAGAAAAAAAAAAAGATAAAAAAAAAAAAAGATGACTTACTATGTTATTTGGTGTTGTTGTTTGTCTTATCCACTCGGTTCCATTTGACTTTGGAACTCGGTATCTGGAGTGTACGTCACAGCTAATGCATAAAAGCTTGTTCTTTCGATCAGTTCTCTGCTGAATGAATAAAGAAGGCAAACGTCTTTATACCATACCTCAGTCCTGTGCGTTTGACAGTGGAAAAGCTGAGAAATATAATTTATTTTAACAGGCATAACAAGCTGAGCTTACGGATAAATATAGATAAATCATTGCACTGTGACCTGTAGGAAAGACCTGACCACTTCCTTTTTCTTTGCACATGTTGGCTACTTTGAATGATCCTCAAATAGGGTTTCATGTATGAAGACTCCTCATGTGAATGTTACTGCTACAGGCGACTAGAAGGCCAAGTGTAGAGCGAGTAAAACGAAAAGCAATCTCTAGAACTCGGGCTCAGATTTCATTTCACGGATATAGCCAACCTCTAATCTAAAATATTGATGTATTTTAGATGCAGCCAATAGAAGACACTGAAAAATACGTTCACACAGAGAACCATAGCTGCTGTGCTCATTTTCTTGTACGTGTCAGGACTGGTTTCGGATCAGATAAAATGACATTTGACGAAACGATTTTAAAGTGCAGATTGTTGAAGGTGATGACGATTTGATTGATGTATATTTGTATATTTGTCTCTTGTTTCCTGCTGCAAATGTATACTACATTTTTTTTTTGTTCGATTGATTTCATTTTATTTGATGTACTCCAATGCTCCGAATAACCAGGTGAAGCAAAATGCTGGATGCTTTTTACATGATATGGAGATACGATCAAGTAATAATTTAAAACACATGAGAAAAAAAAAATAAACTGAAGACGACTATTGTAATGTTCAAATGTACAAGACGAAAAATGAAATACAAAACTTTAAAAAAGGAAAAAAGATGTTCCTTCACTGATTTCAAATTTTGAATCAGGGCATTTTATTCCTATTTTTGTGGTCGTTGATATGATAATTATAATAACAATGTACTGTGCAGTCATCAAATGATCTCTCTCTTTCTCCATTCCCTGTCACCACATCCACTCTTTATTTCATCATTGTTGTATTTAATAGTGTGTACAAAAAAAAATCATATATTGTAACAAAATGCTGTCTTTGGTAACAGTGTAGTGGTCTATACTCTTCTTTGACCTCTTTCACTCTTTTTACTTATCACACCGCCATCCCTCTTTCTTCTCCCCTCTCCTGCCCCGTGAAAGTAGTCGATGTTGTGTAGTTACTCTAGATATGGTAGTTTGTAGCAGATTTAGGACCAGTAAGGATAGAGCTTTCTTGTATTATATTGTACTGTGAGAGGTTATTTTAGCAGAATTTTATCTTTGGCTTGTTTCTTCTTGTTTTTTCTTTATTTCTTCTTTTGTTGTGATTTGCAGATTTCACATGGTTTCGACTAACCAAAGCTCTCACAAAAGAACTATAAATATATAAATATATATATAAAAAAGAAAATACAAATTGCTGTAAGATGTTACTTTAAAAAAGGCATTATTTAAATCCCCACCCTTGAATGTTTTTTAAAAGGGTGTGCCATACTACCTTAAATGCTAATACAAAACTCTTTACTTTTCGTTCTTTTCTAAGGGGACATGAGCAACAGTTCTGAAGATTTTATGTGAAATATATATCATATTTTTTTAAACGATTCTCATAATGATAATAATTACAACAGCACTATTGATCAACTGTAAGGTTTTGATGTTTGTACGCTTTCAAAATATCCCAGTCGCCCTAAGGCACTGCTATTTTTGAATACCACTCTGTTTTTTAAACGTTCTCTGCCTTTAACAGAATTTGTTCTTTTTTCCATTCATCAAATATTATTTGATGGATCCTATTATTCCGTGGGCCCTGGAAACCAGCCTTTTATTTTAACTAGACCATCTTTGCACTAGCTCTGCTCAGATATATACTCATTGTGTAAAATAAGCTTAGAAGTAAAAAGTACACATTGCAGATCACCTGTTCACATACAGTTTAGTACAAACTTAGTTCAAAGCAGTGAGAGCCTGCATTTTTAGAAGTTTTCAACAGCTCCTCCTGCTTTCATAGGTCAGTTTTGGAAGAAATGTTTTATTAGCTGACCACACCTATCGATGTGCACAGACAATACCTCAATTTGTCTTGAACTGTGGCTGCTTGAAATAACTGTGCTGCAGAGGGTTCAGGATAATTTCCATTTGTTTGGAAACATATTTTCCAATATTTCAACAAAGCAATAAAGAGTACAAAACCACTCTGATCTTAACGTCTTTGAAAGGGGCTGGTATGCAATTGCACGGCCATCACAGTTGATCTACGAGCTAATCTTACCTACGCAGTTATTTTCACATACTACTATAGTACTGTGCAATGTTGGAGAACTTCATTTATTTAATTTCCAAGCAAATGGTCATTAAATATACATGATTCTTTTTCATTATGAAGAAAAAAGTGGAAAACCTAAAACCCCAACAATTAAATATCTTTCATTTTTTTCGAGAGACTTGCTTTCAGTTTTTCTAAGAAATCTGCAAGGATATTTGTCCACACTGCCAGTTTAGTCATACAAGTTGGTTACATTTTCTGCTTTTCACGATCCAAGCAAGCCACTGCTAGAGCGACAGCAGCTTGTTTGTTTTATTCTTATTTTCATTCTTTCTTGTTTACAAATCAGACTAGACCCATAGCGTTGAGATGGCTTCTCAAAGTGGAACGATGGACAGAAATACCTGTGGATTTTTTCAGATTTGAAGCAAAAGTGGAGCTTGATTTTCTCTTCTCCTTCAAAGACAAAAGCTTTAATTGCTGTTTATCTGATGGGGACAGTTTTGGTGGTCTACCAGGTCTTGCAGGAGAACTTTGTTTTCTCTGTCCCTTTTAATTATTTTTTGAACTCCAGTTTTGGAAACTCCAGTTTTTTCACTTTTTTCTTTTAATTTTCTTCTTCATTATGCAAGTGCATCTCTGCATCTCCCCAGAAATATATTCAGAACAATGAATAACTTAATGACAGTCTTGGCTGGAAATTAAGTAAATTAATGGTGCTCTCTGACTTTTACAATATACTGTATTTTGTAAACTTTAGCAATGATGCTTGGTCCATGCCGGTCTGCAGTACTGACCATCTACCAAGCTTGAGAAAAAGCAGATAACAAACATAAATAAAGTCTATGCCGATAGTCTGTCAAAGCAATCAAAACATTTGGTCAGTCTCCATCAGTCTCCATTTTCAAATTTGATTAAAATAAAAGCTGGTGCTCCAAACCATTTCATTATTATATTTGGGATTTTTTTCTTTGTTCTTCTAGCTTAGACTTTAAGGTAGCATGGCTCTGTTTTTTTTGTTTTGTTTTTTTCCATAGACAGCAGTTTACAGCTGATGAATGTCACACATCTTACTAGTCTAGTTAATCCACTGATTTAGGAAAAAAAATGTAAAGGATGAAAAAAAAAGAAAAAAATAAGACCTGGAAGGTGTCTGGAGCATACTACCGTATCCATTTAAAACTTGAATCTAGGCAAGTGCTAGGCAATGGCCAACTGCTTATCAACCCACGGTAACATACACACGTTCGCATACAATGTATATATACATTGGTGTGTCCTACCAGATGTTCTGCTAATGTCAACTGGTTATTTGGTGAATTCACAACATCTCTTTCCCATCTCTCTTTCTCTCTCTGTCCATTTCCACAAACCCTGTTGTTCGTTGCTTTCAAAGCAGTCAACGTTAACACTGCAAGTTTCTCTTCAACCAACTATGGAATCCAATTCCATTCACTTGCATGAGAAACGCTTAACTAACGACTGTTAACCAATGAGTGGGCCAACTTTCGGGTAGCCTTAACTCAGCGATTGGGCCTCTTTTTTGTTTTTTTCTCTTCCTCTCTTGTAGCTGTCACGTCCAGTCTGTACAGTAATGTTAAAAGCAGTCATTTTTATGGCTCCACTGTAACAGCACACCGTCCAGACTGCCTGCCCTTCCTCCTGACTTTTGCTGACTGCTGGAGGAGAGTGGCAGCAAAGGCTGCTTCCCGCTCTTCCTCGCCCATTCCTGACACTTGCCCTTGTTTTTTTCTTAACGTTAACGACTTTCTAACGGCGAGAGACTGACCGAAATGACTGACGTCTGAAAGCATCTTTCAGGTCCTCTTGTATGGCTTGCTCAAGCCGTGTTATAAATTTAACTTAAAAAAATAATAATAATAATAACATGGAGGGGGGGGGGGTTCTCTCATGCCTCAGATGTGGAAAGTAGAATTTTATATTTGTATTTTCAAATGGTAACACTAAGAAGAATAAAAAAAAAGATGTTTCTGAAAGGTTTCCATCCTCTACTGTGGTCCAGAAATCGATGTGTCTGTCTGGAAAAAACAATAATAAAATAAAATGAACTATTTTATTCTTTGTACTCTTATTTTAATTGATGTTGGTAATTTAGTTAAATAATAATGCAGTAGGATCAGATGAAAATGCATATAACACTGATAACCAACATTTTCTCAAGGCATTGACTTAGCAGTCATATAACTTCAATCATGAGCTTGCAATAACAATGATTTAAGTTATATTAGTGCTGGCTAATATGACAAAGAACACTGAGTCAAACCACTGAGAAGATATTTATGGTTCTGTGTGAGTGGTTAGATCAAAACACAACCTCTTTTGTGACTGAAGCATATGACTTTAAACAATCCATACACAGCTTGAGTTCCATTACAAATGGCAAAAGAACAAATCTACACTTAGCGCTTCCTTTTTAATGAAGTAAGGGATTTCCAGGATGTAGATGTGATGTGAAAACGAGGACAGAGGTAAATCCCAAGAATAACATGACTTTCTAAGCTTTGTTCAAGTACCTCTGTAATGACAACTGGAATAAATGCAGCCGACTGCCATGCATTATACAGACAAATATATGTTCACTGACACTATGAGGCAATTGAGTACATAAAAGCTACAGTAGGTGATCAATTTTTGAGATCAATATTAATGTCAGCTCAGACAGATGTACAGCAAATAGACTGTAAATGGGCCACATGTGACTGGATGTAAGTCTACCATGAATCAACTGTATCCATCAACGTATATTCGCACCCATTCAAGCTGGATGTCTGCCAGGTTTTTAC